CTGCCAAAGAAATGTGGAACACAAAGAGTGAGACACGCTCAACACGGAACTAAAAACAGGTGAGAAAAATACTGTAAAAGCACCAACTTATACATGAAATGATATAACCTGAAACCTCATATATTACACTTTATAATAGGTATTTGCATGAATTAAACAGCTACTCACCACAGAAGCAGGTGTAGGAGGTCGGTTGTTTCGGGGCAACATTCTGGCAGGCCGGACAACGCCAGCCTTCATTTGATTCTGAAAAGCAGATTATTTTATTTTAGTATAAATACATATACAGTATGTGAAACATATTCACACAGGCCTCAAACTGCAACGCAAACTAAAACAGTTGATGCAGCAGGAATGTCAAAGCCCGAGAGCCGTGTTGTTTTGTGAATGGGGCCACAGAGCCTAGTTATTGTCCACAGCAGTATAATACATTACAGTGGATTATGCTGGGGTCTGTTGTTTTGTAGCCTCACAGAGATAACCCTACTGAGAGGAGGGCGTGTCAGTGCTGCTGATAGTAAACATCCAGCTGCTGTGTGAGGTTGTACCGTCTGCCTGCGAGGCCGGGGATCGAGCCCACTTCTTGATGCAGTTCAAGTGGAAGACGTGGAAGCAGCTCTGGCAGCTCCACACCGGCGACATGCAGCGGATGATGTCACAGCAGACCATACACTCGTACTTCTCCTCAGACAGCTGCTCAATCAGACAGCCTGCGGGGGGGAGGGATCACAGGGTCAGGAGGAGGCAAGGGGGCTTTAGATTATTCGCTTTTTAAACCTGAAAGACCAGAGGGAAGTTCAATCAGAGAAATGTGATGTGCTGAGGAGCGCTGTTCAAACTCGCACTGTCACTATATCAAGATTTTACCATACGTTTTAGGGACCAAATAATAACCATTAACATTATATATACATGTCTATAGAAACAAATATTTCTTATGCCTTTTCTGGCAAATGAACTACCTTTACATACGGGGATGTAAGAGTAAGAGTCAGGCAGCAACTGTACAGAACATACAAAACTAGCAAATCCAGTGAAACAGAAATGTATTATTTATAAGATATAATCATATGTGTATTATTTAAATGATATCTCTCTATATATATAAATATATTTTTTGTAAATATCATTGTTAGCATCATTACTGATATATTTCAAAACCCCTAGTTCAAACCAAAAGAATATATATAAAATATTATTATGATAAAATACAGGGTAATGATGTACAAAGCATTTAGAATTGGCAAACAGTGTTAGATAATTGACTGTGTAACTTTGAAGCTGCCTAATGGTACAAATGTAATGCTATGTCAAAGGTGGTTTATTAGAAAAAGTGTCTTTATGCAAAGATCACTAAAGAAATTAGTTTGATACAATCACCTTAGTATCTGATTGATTTAGTTTTATTTCAATATCACCGACTCCTTGGTTTCCATATCAGAGTTCACATTGATTTACCTGTCTGTGTCTCCTTGCTCTCTGGCACCTTGTCCCAGCTCCTCTGGCCCGGCCTGTGGTTCTGAGGATTTGTTCTCCTCCCCCCTCTGGCCTGGAGAGGCGCGGGTCGCCCTGCGCCTCGGCCAGCTTTACAGGCAGCCGGATCCTGAGACGATCTGCCATATCGGGGGTCATCTTGGACAATGGCCCTCCTCTCTGAGCCCGTTTCCTCTTGAGATGGTGGTTTGGGTGGTTTGATTGGTCCTTGTCTCCTTGCCTCAGTGGGTTTCCTCTGATGATCATCGTATTGAGAGTCCGGACCTGTCCTGCTCCTCTGATTTCTTTCCCTGATGTCTGAAGGAAGGTTTTCTCCTTTGCGGTCGTAGGACCTCTGACCTTGCATGGCTGTGTTGTTCTCCTTTAAGCGGGTGCCCTTTTCATTCTGTTGTCCTCTTTTTGGCTCCTGGATGAACTTCCTTGGTTTTTTAGCCCGGGCATCTGGGTCTTCAGCAGATTGCTCTAAATTCCTGCCCGCATCTTCTCTTCGCCAGCTGGATCGGTCAGGTCCATCCATGGGATTAGGCCCGGATTGAAGCCCGCCGGCACCTCTGTGGTTACCATTATTCTGGGCATGATCACCTCCAGGTCTTTGCCAACTGGAGCCACCAGAATTTTCATTTAGACTTCTATTCCCATCTCTCCTCCCTCTACCTCTGCCTCGACTTCTGGCTCCATCATCTCCGTGGTAGGGAGGCTGCTGATGCAACGCATAATTTGAATCATCATGGCTAAATGGGGTTTTGACACCCTGATCAAAGTGTCCATATTGTTGAGAAGGATCATAACTATTCAGGTTCCTGTCATTGCAGTATCTGGGCCGGCCTCTTCTGGATTTTTGCTGATACGGTTTTGGATTTGATGCCCCATTTGGATTGAGGTCAGGTGGTTCTGCAAACAGAAAAGTGACAGCTATGGGTATAATAATTGCAATCAAAATAGTCATTTTTTTTAATTAAAGGAATAAAAACTGATCACAGGTCATTAACTGTAAGTCTATAGCAGAGCCAAAGATACGAGAGCACCACAATTAACAATATTTGGTATGATTTACAAAAAACTATAAAAGCAAATGTGATATTTTAATAATGGTATGGGTTCATTAACCTTTCTTGGCTGATGTACTATTCTACTACTATTCATATGCAAATTATGTAGTCAGCCGTTGTGCTAATACCGATTAGTAACTAAATCACAAATACACCAACTGCAAGACAGGATAGTCACATGTCTATTAACTCCTGGTACTGTATTTCAGATCAGGTGTAATGTTGCGTTTCAAAGTTCACGGTTACATCATCCTGATGACACCAATAAGAAAGGCTAACATTAGCAACCGTTGGAAAATCCAATGCGCATCATAAATGAAAAATCAGCTCGCTTATGTTAGCTGAAAGTTCACGTTAGCTCTCGTTAGCTTTACATCACACTAGCTAAATTACTACACAACCGTTATCAAGTACATTAAAGTAGCCAACCCAGCATTACCGAGACATTCTGTTAGATTGTTGCAGTAAGAACTTGTTTTTTGACTGTATGGATGAATTATTAAGACAGAAAGTGAGTTACCTGAGGAGCCCTCGGCCATTCAGTTGAACTCTGGTTGCTGTTTCTCCCACGCCACAAGTTTAACACCACAGACTGTTTTTCAGAGATATGACAAGCCTATCTAGGTACTCCGCGACAATAACCACTCTCTCGCCTTTGTTCTGACTGTTCAAATGTAGTCAAACTCCCTAAAACAGCAGTTACAATCTACTCCAACCTTCCACTCACTTTATCAACACTAGCTTAAAGCTAACATAAGCTATGTCAAGAGAGCGAGGATCTAAAACGGAACTTCCGGTCAGTATTTTTAAAGTAAAACGGAAGTCATTAAACATGAAATATTTCACCGCATCTGACAATACATTTCACATAAAGAAGAATCATTCGATGACCTTATTGTTTTAAAAACAGAGGAAAAACAGAAAAACAGGTATTATAAGTATTAGATATTAATAATAGTAATTCGCTGCGAATCACTGGGAATGAAGATTACATTTCACTGATTTTAATGTTAATGGAGTCCACAAGGTGGTGCTCCATGTTTGGATTAATGGGGGATATTATTAAATGTTATAACTGTTCAACCACTAAAGGCTGTTCTTTAAGTGCACTACATACAGTATGATGTTACAGTATACATATTTGTATATATATAACTATATAACAACAAACTGGTAAGGGGAAGGTCATGAGTCATGACCTATGGCTTTAGAGTGGGGGCCATTGTCTTGTCTCTGAGATGGGTAGGTAATACGACACACCATTGTGAACTTGGTTAAACAAGGAAATAGTTCATGTTACTATGTTACATACTTCCTATCTGTTTCTGTCTTATACATACACATATTGTATTACATGTGTATTTCATTGTGTTGTATGTGTTTGTCTGGCAGCAACCTATGAAGGGAAAATCAGGCTTTTAATTAATAGAATGCATTTATTTCAGAAAAAAAGTACTATTTAGACAACGGCAGTACAGTGAGTCATACGATTATTATTTGGACACCTAGTATGACATATATCCTACCACTTAATTCCAAGAAACACAATTTTTCCCCCATGTGACCATAAATGTACTTTAATTGGAATGTACTCATCTGACGGTAGGGGACACTAATGCAACTAAACCAATCAATGCCCATTTTTTCTAGGAAAAATATTGTAATGAGCTGTAACAGCGTGATGCTTCATTTGATTCTTTAAAAAAAACAAAAAACTTTTCACACAAAACCCCAAAAGATCATTAAAAAATCATTAAACTGAATACTACAGTGGTGAAATGATATGCCAAAGCAGTGATTCTCAAAGTGTTGCGTCGTTGACATGATTGCTACGGTAAAAAATAGAAGCCATACCAAACGATTTTCAAAACATTTGATATTAAACATGTAGGCCTACATTGAATTGTCTTGCATTTGAAGGCAGCAAGGTCAAACTAATACTATTTGGTTTGGCTTCTGAATCTATTTCTCAAATGGCACTCAGGTCTGTAACTAGCCTTCTCAGTGTCGCCACAAGTCAAACAAACGAAGCATTAATGTTTTTTTTGTAAATCGTTGTTTTCTGTGGGGCTCTCCCTGCAGTCACATATTCCAGATCACGCATGCGCAGACTGGCTCCTCGACCGAGTCAACCAGGCGAAGTGGGTGGGAGGGAGTTAAGTGAAGTTTCCACCAATGCGAACAAACTACATTAAAATAAGTATTTATGTTTTCAAAATAAAATCATAAATGATATATTGACCGGAGGCTTCTACTTTATGATAACATAAATATCAATATAAACACAAACTATGGTTCAGTTATTTATTTTAATAATTTACATGTAATAACAACGTAAAATGAACTAGCCATAAAATAAAACTGCACCCTATGGTTTTACTCTGAAAACCTTGACCGGAAATCCCATCTTTCTGTGCACCCAGCTTGACTGTAGCTCTCTGAGAAGCTCGAGCGCGGCCAAGCAGGAGAGAGTGGCAGTGAATGTGTCTGCGGCAGCTTTTAGCGTTAAAAAACACAAACTACGGCCGAAGAACAGAGGACCGAACCCCGCTGCAATTAGAGACGACCTCGGAAGACCATGGACTATGATAAATTCTAAAAAGAGACTGGTAACTGTGGGCTGTTTTGACGACAAGCGGTTTATTGAACATCTGTAGAGCATAATGAGGGCATCCGCTATTCTTTACGGTGGTTTTTCCTCTGAGGTTTAGTTAGACGCTGAGTGACACTATTTATAAATGCGTCGCTTTTAGACATCCACTCAAGGAATAGACACACCGAGGGGATAGAGCCTGCAGAAATTTAGTTAATTCCCTCCTCCCATGGCCCCTGGGGAACAGTGAAGTCATTTGAGAAGTCACCGGAGAAGAAGACACGTCTTAACCATCCTGATAGTTTAACAGTTTTGCGCGAGAAAAAAAATCTACATTCCCCTTCCATCGGCTCGCCGGCACACCTCTGCTTTTTCATCATTTTTTTCAGTTAATCTTACATGGTTTAAGCTTCCTGAGAATTCATCGCCGACCCTGCTGTGGGCATTTTCCCCGTTAAAGGATGCCGGATCAAATATCCGTGTCCGAGTTCCTCTCGGAGACAACAGAGGATTACAATTCCCCGACAACATCCAGCTTCACCACCCGACTGCAGAGCTGCAGGAACACCGTGAATGTGCTGGAGGAGGTAAGGCCACGGTGTCAGCCTGCCTGCGGGCTGTGTGCATGATGGATGGGTGGATGATTGATGATTTAACAAAACAACCAAATAAACTATATTATTATATTAAAAATGCATCCAATTAAAAAAAAAACAGGCTTACAGGGTGGAATGTTATAACACCAACCAAGGCTACATAACCAAAAATGCAACTGTTGATACATGACAGCATTTCAAAACCTCCTTAAATGCATAAGAATGCTACACATCCGCACCTGTTGAGCTGCTTTTTCTGTGAAAGTGCATTTTTCCTGACAACATTTCCCCCCCTCCACACATGCAGATCTGGTGTGTGTAGGTGAACTATAATCTTGTGTGTTTGTGAATCTGCTGCTCTTTCTTGCCAGAGCTGTAGAGTACTAATAGAGGGGGTGGATGGCTCTGGTGGTGTAAGGAATAGAAAGATGTGCACTCAGGCCTGCAGCTCTCTGTGTTCACTATTACATAACTCACAGCTTCAGAACATGCTGCCAGGCTGTGGCAGTGTGTGTGAGTGTGTGACAGATAGAGAAAGACCAATCTCTACTCACTGGCAGTCAAATCAGGATTGAACCGTTTCAGGATTAAAGACATTCCCCACTTTTACATGGGCCAAATTATATTTAAAACGATCCAGAAACACCCCCAAAGTCACACTCGATGTTGCTGTGTCACCTCTGATCATGTAGGGATAGTGTAATAAGGCCAGTCAGGTGGGTTGCTATGTGAATGTGTGTGTGTTTCCCACCTCCCCACCCCCACCATCACCCTCCATTGGCATGCTTCCTGCTATGATTAAATGGAGCATCAAACCAGGGGAGCGCCCACCTTCACTGTTGTCCGTGAAAGCCAAAATGTGACCTAATTTCCCACTTTAAAGTGCATTTAGCTGCAGACATGAATTACTTCAGGATCACAGTATTTAGTTTAATCTGTCATGTAAAGCAGAAACATTGAACGTGACTAAACTAAATGGTTTATTTATTGTACAGATGTAAGCAGAGGAGGACAGTAACCAGATATGTTTGTGTAAAGGAAAAAAAAGCCACTCTTTACATTCTAAACAGCCATTACAGTACCAGCCCTCGCTATCCATCACTTCTATCTCCAATCTTTCGCATCTTTATATATCATGATATGTGTAATAAAGCAACCAAAACAGAACCGGGCCTGTGTCTATTCTCAACCCGGAGCACACTCTGTGTCTGCTGACTGTAACAAGGAAAAGGCTCACATCATGAATCACCTCTCTGGCTCTGTGCCTCTGAACCCAGAGACTGCAGCACCACAAACGAAAAACATCTGTTAGAAAGGGCCGCCATGTGCGCTGGGCTTCAGTAGCTGCTCTGGAATTTTTTGCAGGGATCACATGACATGGAAGACCATTACACTGGTACCATAGAGTGAGCAACATGCTCTTCACTGTTTAAACAAAGGCAAGATGCCCCTGAAACTTTGAGGCGAGGATATTGAGAAACTAAAGCCGGGATACACCCATCAGACAGAGAAGACACCATCAGCAGCCAGCATTAAGCCATGAAAACTGTTAGATTAGTGTCTGTTTATAATGACATTAGCTACCCTGTTTGATCCCTGCGTAGACATGTAGGGACTGACTTGCATCATAGACCTGCTGCATTGAAGTAAAACTGCTTTCGGCGTCACTTTGCCTGAGGAGGCGTTTGTTCAAAGTGTCCCAGGCTTTTTTTTTACTGAGCTCCTCTCCCCAAATTTAAAGCATTTATTCCTTTTCTTTTCCTCCAAGTAATGTCCTCTGTATGTTGACAAGGTAAATAATGCAAAGGTACGGCTTGAATATTTAATGCTGTAACTTGAGGGGGTGACTTGACACACCGGAGGGTAGTCGCTCTCTGAGTCATCATGAGTTGCAAAGAAAAGGAAGGAAAGAAAATTTGTTGCAGCATCATATTGTGTGTGTGTGTGTGTGTGTGTGTGTGTGTGTGTGTGTGTGTGTGTGTGTGTGTGTGTGTGTGTGTGTGTGTGTGTGTGTGTGTGTGTGTGTGTGTGGTGTGGTGGCGGCATAGTGGCAGCGCTGTTGGTTTGTGGTGTGGCTTCTTATTTTGGTGTCATCTTCGGTGCTAAGCAGTCATGATGTGGTGTTTTTTCCACTGCATTTCCCAGAAATCAATGTTGGACTTTCTGTTGGTGAAGTTGGAGGGACTATAGTTGATAATCATATTTTGTTCATCCATATAGCAGAGATTATAGCTGCAAGTATTCCCATTCATTAATGTTCTCCCATATTCCAAGAACTCAAAGTCATACAATTGGTTTTCCAAGGACTTCAGAAAACTGCAATACAATCTTTGGATTTTCGGCGCTGTAACCCTAACACATTTGGTTGTGACACATTGTTGGTCAGTTGGTTTCTCTACCAGTTTGTGTCAAAGAAAGATATCTTAACCAGGGCTGAACAATTAAGGCAAATGTTATAAATATGCAATATGGACTAGTGCAATATTCAAATAGTAGGGATCCAAATCATTGTTAAAGGCTACATATTTGTTAAAATACAATTTTTTTTAGTGCCACCTTCAGGACAAATCAACACGTTTGGCATCACAAACTGATACATTCTTACACATTGGACGATTATGTTTGATTATTTAGTTTGTGACATCTAATACTTTTGGCCAATTAACATTGGGCCACAATTCAAGCAGCATCAGTATTTATTGTCTCCCAAAATGGTATCGCTTTATGTTAACAATTTACAGATCCTTCCTGCAGTCCTGGAGATGGCTGCTACTACTCATTTGTACTTCTTTATATTTGTTGTACTACATAACGTTTTCATGCTTTTCCCTCCCTGACAGGATTATTTGAAAAAATAATAACAAAAAATCATCTTAAAATACTCGCTTTAATCAGATTTTCTTCTGCTCTTTACAGCGTGTACTATAGTTCAGCAACCCATAGTAATGACAAACAAAAAATCTTTCATGTTACACTGTTAAACTCAGCTTTTATTAACAAAGAAGTAAGTAGAGCAAACATAATACCCCAGACCAACTATAAATACCACAATACCCCCAGAAAAACCTGAAAATGTCACAGGTTATTTACCTTAAGGCTTTTTGCTTTTTGATATACCATAGGTTATTATTAGCACTTTATAAGCACTTGTTATTCCCCCGTGGGGCATGCATTGTGTCCCTCTCTGCCCCACAGATGGAGCTTTGCGTCACTGGGTTTGCTTTTCTAAACCACACAGAGCCATAGCAGCGATACAAGGGAAACCCTCACTGCAGTGGCATTCCTTTGAGCATGCCTCTCGCACCACATCACATGGGCTGGACCAGAGAAATGTTGACTTTTCACAGTCATTCTATTCAAGCATGAATAAGCAATAGGCAGAGACCTTTTTATATTTTTGACTTTTATATAACTGCCTTTTCAGTAGCAGAGACACATCACAGAGTTAGATGATAACCTGGAAAAAGCTCAATGAGTTGTTATATTCCAAACCACTGCGTCGATATTTTTGAGTTAAAATCATTGCTTGAAGTCGTCACAGAGTAATTTATAGATTGGGAAAAATGTTGTATAACTGTTTCCAGTAAATTACTTAACATTTCTACCATTGTTTTTATAGCTTTAGTTCATTTATGTCAATGTACCTGAGTTAGCGTCACTCCAATCAAAAGTTGGATCTAAGTTTGGAAGAATTAAAGACGTCCTGTGCAGATTGTGACCAATCAATAACATACATGCACAAATGTGGAGGAAATGTGCTTTAAAAGCCAGCAAAGCAAAGAAGTGCAAGACCAACTGAAGCTTTGGGTTTTAAAACAAAGAAGTCGTGTTAAGATAGATTTATGAGGTCAGGTCGCCGCGGTTTTCATGAGAGGAGTGTTCACTTTGAGGTGGGAGAAACTCAGTCTCATGTTCAGTTCTCTGCTTTGGCCGAATCCTCACTTTATCAGTCAATCACTCTTTTATTCACCCACTCAGGCAACAGAGACCGAACAGCTTGGACTGCGATTAAACTGTCGATTTTCATTTCAGGATAGTCAAGTAATCGTCACGTCTATACAAGATATGAGGATAGGGAAACACGGCCGTTAGCAGTTCTCCAAAACCTAAGGATGGGACGTCTTTGTTTATCCAGTTTTGTCCAAATTGCAAACTTATTTTGGCAGCAAATATTCACTTTTGACCACACATTTTGTATTTCACAGGTTTCAAATGAATTGTGTGTCGATTGCCTATAATACTATTTCATTTTATATAGCCGATGAGTGTGATTCTCTCACAATAAAAGCTATCAATAGTGGAAATCAGAAGTTATTGATCACAGCCAGAGCACGGGTAAGCATTATTATCTAAAATAAACCCTGAAACGGACGGGAGAAAATGAAACACACTCAACTCAACACTCAAGCTGTAGAAACAAGTAAACTTTTGTATTTGATAAAACATCCGGAGGGGATGTTTAGAGAAATCTACCATGGTTGGAAGTCCACAAATCACCAAACACTTAGAATGTTAATTATCCCAGCTTTAGGTTGTTTGTCTGAAAGCACCTGAGGGCATTTCCCAGAAGACACGCTGTCACGTGAGGCTTCAGCTTGGTCACATGTTTCCTAACATCTAGTCTTCTACCAGGGAGTCAGTTGTAACAACATCTACACACATAACAGATAATGTTTAGCTTTCTTTCATATTTGGTCATTAAGCTTTGGAGAATTGGCTGATTCTTTGACCGGTCTTCATCGGGAAAACACCTACGAATTGTATGCACCATAATTCAAAAGAACGAGGCGGGGTTTTATCATACTTGGCTTTACATAACAAAAGCGAGTGCTGGCTATTCAAAGCTCTATTCTGCAACATCTGCAACTGAGGAGCACAGCTGTGTCGGATTCAATTATTAATGAAGTTATGGCTTTTTATTCATCATTTGTCCCCCATGTCACCAAACCCAGTGAATCATAAGGGGTGAGAGAATGGGAGCATTTCTCGTC